GTAGATGACTTTCGTTGTTAGTTAGTCTCGGGCGTCAACAACAGTATGTTCAACTAAAAGTTTGCACAAAAACTTAAAGAACGCTGTATTGGGAATCCCCGAAGTAATCTTATTATTACATTACGACATATTTTACAGCACAGCTCAATGTGTATAGAACGCAGATACTAACATAGTCGTGTGTAAGAAAAAAACAGATCTCGATTGACTAAACGACAACATTTTTTGCTAAATGGGTACTTTTTGTTTAAAATATAGAGCGAAAAATGGGACGGCGGTAGAGAGCTAGTCAGTTTAAGTAAGTAGAATGTCAATAGAACGTCCCGAATCCACCGAGCTCTGATAAATACCTAACTCACGTTAAGGAAAATAAAGGCGGCTGTGGAAAATGCTGACCACACTATCTCTTCTTATGCCGAGGCCACAGAAACAGATGAACTCGACTTCATCTGCCCCATGGGCACGAACGGGAAAAGATGATGGTGATTGATTAATATATACTATGGGAATATTAACTTGAGGGTCTCGAGTAGGCAAATAAATTCAACGGAGGGACGTTGGATTTCAAATTGTCAAATCCGTTAACAAAACGCAAAGCTTTGATGTCTACTAACTGTTTGATTCATTCTCAGAATTCCATTGTATTGGTTTTATACGATGTCTTTGAACTCGTCTCAAACGAGATAATTCTCAGTGGAGTGATTAATAAATTTTATAATCTTATGTTGTATTATAAAACAAAAGTGAGTATGAAACGTTCTGATGCTATAGTATGACTTTTCAACGCATTGAATTGTATGGTGTTAGTAATAAATCAGGTAAATTTTTTTTTAAACTGACACAAAGCTAAAGCAATAAGGTCTATTCTGCTCTCGGCGCGATAATTTAATCTGGACTAAACATACTAGCCTTAACTAGTTCATATTTAATATTCAGAGAAGAAAAAATAAATACACATAGAAACTTTGATTTGAAAAAAAAGACAAAAATGTTTTCTGAGTAATAAATAGCTAACCATTGTTTGTCTCACAAGTTTGATACGTAAAATCATATTTGTATATGTAAGTAGACATTAAATTTGATAATTTGTCAACATTAACTTGAAAATATCATTTTTCTATTTTTTATGTATTTATAAGTAGTTAATTTGTGTATAAATTGCATGTCTACTCATAATTTCTCTTGTACATAAAGCTACCACTTTATATTTTTTTAAATAGTCTAAATAGATCTAGATCTACATAAAATAATTATTATGTCAGCCATCCTGACATTTGTAATTATATTTTAAGAGTCATAGTTTGTTTTTATAATAAAACGCACACTCAGTATAGTTTTATTAGCAACACTTACTTATATAAAGCTCAATAGTTAAAATAATTTAAATTGATATGTTGATTTCAATTTTGTCTTACGTCGCCATTGATAAAAATAAACACGTTCATTTCCGATTGCATCAAATTTCAATGCGCAGCTTTGGGAATACACAAGATTAAAAAAAATATTTATACACCATTTGAGACTATCATAATACATATTGAGAAAAAAATTCATAAAAAACGTTTTAATAACAAGCTTTTATGTAATGATGCACTAAAAAGTAGAAAATAAATTATAGACTACTATTTAAATAACTATAAAGAAAAGCGTAGGTCACTTTAGTATCTATTGGATACCTTTACTAATGTTAAGGAAGACACCCGCGCTTTTCTTTATAGTTATTTAAATAGTAGTCTATAATTTATTTTCTACTTTTTAGTGCATCATTACATAAAAGCTTGTTATTAAAACGTTTTTTATGAATTTTTTTTTTCAGTACTTTACATGTTTTATTTACAATAGAGTTACATGACTAAAAACCATTGCGCGCCTACTGAACATCACGTTCAGTAGGCGCGCAATGGTTTTTGAACGCAGCCATTACGTGATGGCGCAGCTATTGAAGGTGATGACGCGTGTGGTGTGGTTGGCTAGACATGCCTACTAATTCGGCCCAAATTTTAATTAATTCATAAAAAATTAATTAGGCATCCAATTAAGTCAAATTTAGTTTCAGATTGCATTGTCTTCATGTCTTCACCCACGTGCCAACTGTGAATCTTATCGGTCAAGTAGAACTGTCCGAATTTTCACTCCTACGTTTCTATCTAGACTGACGACAGACTGTCGACAGACAGAGGAAGTGAGTTAAATAAAAGCTTGTAAAAAAATTCATAAAAAACGTTTTAATAACAAGCTTTTATGTAATGATGCACTAAAAAGTAGAAAATAAATTATAGACTACTATTTAAATAACTATAAAGAAAAGCGTGGGTCACTTTTGTATCTATTGGATACCTTTACTAATGTTAAGGAAGACACCCACGCTTTTCTTTATAGTTATTTAAATAGTAGTCTATAATTTATTTTCTACTTTTAAGTGCATCATTACATAAAAGCTTGTTATTAAAACGTTTTTTATGAAGTTTTTTTCAGTACTTTACATGTTTTATTTACAAAAGAGTTACATGACTAAAAACCATTGCGCGCCTACTGAACATCACGTTCAGTAGGCGCGCAATGGTTTTTGAACGCTGCCATTTAACGTGATGGCGCAGCTATTTAATGAAGGTGATGACGCGTATGGTGTGGTTGGTAGACATGCCTACTAATTCGGTCCAAATTTTAATTAATTCATAAAAAAATAATTAGGCATCCAATTAAGTCAAATTTAGTTTCAGATTGCATTGTCTTCATGTCTTGACACACGTGCCAACTGTGAATCGTATCGGTCAAGTAGAACTGTCCGAATTTTCACTCCTGCGTTTCCGTCAAGACAGACAGAGGAAGTGAGTTAAATAAAAGCTTGTAAAAAGAGGCTTATCAAGCAATATTAATTTTTTTTTTAAACATTACATGTGTTTTACAGCACTGCGTCATGCTGCGTCATGCAGCGTCTATTAAAGGACAGTGACTGGTAAAACGCGCCCCGACCTTTCCAAATAAGGGATGAGGGGGCGCATTTGCACCAACGCGAATTACTATATTATAGGCCTAATTTGGAGAGTGGCGCTAAATTGATAATTTGCCCTGAGCGCCGAAGTAGATAACTACAACTTTGTCTATTACCCTGTCTATAGGTTATATATTATAAACTAATATAGTCGAGTCAGTTGTTAAAATTCGAAAAAGTTCGAACCCTCTGGCAGATAAGGCTCGATCCCTTCCAGCAGTAAAAATTAAGAACGGAGAAGAAGAAGTAATGGCAATTACACATATTTGCGCCCCCCCCCCCCCATGGATAGTGCCCTTGGCGAACACTAGGAGATCACTCCCGCTTTATTTACCTTTTACCGATGGAACCACGCCTGTATGTAGGTCTGTCCAAATAGTTGGACAAACCTTGACACAATTTTACTAAATTATTTTTTTTACCTAATTGGATATTTATTTAATATTAACCGACTGTACTCAATGATAAAATGCATCTAAGATAGTGTTACTGTGAAACGGCGTTGACGGACTGTAGAACGTACAAATGTTAACCCAAATGTCTTGAGTTCGTATTCTGGGTTTAATTACTCAGGACATTCTGCTCTGATCGGTACACAAATCACGTTAGGGGAAAGGAAAAGCGATCGTGCATGATGCTAAACACGTTATCTATTTTCATGCCGATGCTAGAGAAAACATAAACTCTACTTCAACTGCCGTGCGGACTTTCAGGTTTGAATTTTTGTATTCTGATTTGACTACATTTTAAGTTTCCATGCCGGTTGTGATGTAACACAAGTAGCAAGCGTTTAATTATCGTAGATTGCAAGTTAACGATTCATTTTAAACAGAGTACAAGTTTTACTCCAAACTTCGGTTATCTAAGAAGGAAATATAAAATATTTTAAAATTTCAAAGTGATGATTTACACTAACTTGTGAATGATTTTATCGTAAACGTACGTGATATGTTTGTTCATGATTTACTGCTAGAAAATGATTTCATCGGGTTTGAATTCCGGTCTATTAATTATGTTTATAACTTCGTAGGTTTTTAGAAATATAAATAATAGATTGAGAAGATGGTTGTGTCAGTAATAACTTTTTAGTTATGATCTATGATTCAGAGTTACATTATGTAATCCGTGAAAACAATGTTTGAAGAAACACATCATGATACACGTCGTTGTAATAACATTTTTTATTGTCAGTTTACACACGATGTTATGTGAATCGTGCAAACATACAGTCAATGATGTAGATCACTCAAGCATAGAGTCAATGATGTAGATCACATTCAAGCATAAAGTCAATGATGTAGATCACGCAAGCATGCAGTAAATGGTGTAGATCACACTGAAGCATACAGTCAATGATGTAGATCACACTCAAAATGTGTTCACTTCATTGTTGATCAATTCGTTATATCAGATACGCTTATTTCATTGGGCGTTATGTATCCTTTAAATCAGTTCTATAGCACTTAAAAAACAAATACTAATCTTTTATGGCGAAACTTGATTGATGGACTAACTATGATAGCTTATTAAATAATCATGCTTACAAATTTCATGAAACAAATCTACAAATTTTGGCCCATAAACTTAATTGAATAATATATAAAGGATGAATTTTTGTGTGTTTACATATGCGTTTTTGTTTTCTGTGAATATATAGGTTTTTGATTACCATAAAAGCAGTGGTCAAGTTTGTATTTTAACTGTGCCGGTAGTCAGCTTAGCTTGAGAAATACTTATGAGTGGTTCCAAATACCACTATGTATGTACATGTTTACTATAATAAAAAATTCTACGTTGTAGTTTCCAAAAAGGAAAACAATCAAATTATTGGTTTTTAAATATAAAATCAAATGTTTAGGCCTAAGTATACTTGTGCTTCAGAAAGTAATTGCAATGGGTAGCATTTTTTTAAATATCGATAGGTTTAGGGGTGGGGGGTAGTTTGTGGTAGGCAGCAGAGAAACTTGTTATATTATAAACAGCACGGTTTGTAGGTTAATTTAGCAGTTTAGCAGCACTGAAAACCAAAAGAGAAATTCAAAATGTACAGAACAAATATGAAGAATAGAAATCCATCAGCTGTCTTAAAAAGTTGAACCGCCGTTTTGGATTTTACGTTAAGATTTTTGGTTTCTGTTTTGACTTCTCTAATGGATGCGATCCTGGTTATTTGAGTTATGGCACCAAAATTTGCCAAGACAAATTTATTGTTCAAAAGTTTGACCAGGCACTCCGTGGAAGTGTGTTTTATTGGAACTAGAGCAAACAACTGACCAAGGTATGACCTGCGGAGTGTTATGTTATCCTGGTCAAACGTCGAAGCAATCTCTTTCCCATGTGACAAGCTGCTCAATTTATTAGAAGAACTAGTCAGATAAGAGTCATCTGTACACGTCCATTTTAAAACTGCTTGCACGACATAATCAGTCCTAAGACACCAATCGTGTTTTAAAATGAATTTTAAATCATCAAAAGAAAGTTGCATCAAGACGTCGGATTCAGCAATCTTCTGAAAATTATCCACCATAAACTCTTTAGTTTTCTTCAAAACGACGAAGGAATTCAACAGCTTAGCTTCAATAAATATTTGCCAGTAGTTTTGTAAATTTACTCTATCTTTTACAAATGTTTCACAGTCCGAAATTAAAAATGTGATTTCCAGTAGAGTAGACGCGTGCCACATTTCAACCATGTTTTCTTCAGTTAAAACATTCTTCCCTTTATAAAAAAAATCCAGTATAAGACCAAATATTTCTGGCGTTATTCCATGTATGGTACAACTTGATTCAGATTTTGATCTCTTATCTGTCCTCATGAGAGCCTCAAAGAAACCAGAGCAGGAACTTAAGACAAACTTATGACAGTTGAACTTGGTGTTGCCAACGTTGACGGTAAAGTCAGTAAACTTGTCCTTGTTTTCATCGAAACATCTGCAGACTTCCTTAGCTACGCGTAGGGCGTCGTCCTTATGATAGTCAACTACAGAATGACGATTGAACAAAAACATGGCTGGTTGTAGAGTAGAATTTAGATTTCTGAAAACAGAAAAACAAGGAATTATAAAAATGTTTTTGCTATTGCTAAGAATACTAAGTCGGAGAAAAGAAACACAATTTTCAATTTTAATGTGTTCGCTGTAGTTATATAATGATATATAATAATACTTAAATACAAGTTTAGTTGTTTTTTTTTAGTTATTTTTTTATTTCTAAAACTGAAGTATTTGCGACTATCATTCGGTGTAATTTAGCTTAAAAGTTGAGTCCCAATCATTTTTACTTCTATTTTCAATTAAAACAATTAAAGTCAAACATTTGTTTGTAAACGAATGTCGTTGGTGACATAATTATATACATAGTAGAATAGTCAGAAAAATAGTTATTTACATAGTTTTCATCACATTTTGTGCATTAAATAAACCGGGAGTGATCTCCCCTAATCGTTCTCGAATATTCTTATATAAAACAACAGGGGATGGGAACTCGGGATATAGTTATGATTTTTAATCCATTTTAAATACTTAAACTTTTTAAAACAGAATCTCATAAAAAAAAGAATTGCGCACCAAGCGAACGCCGAATAAAGATGTGTATAATAGTGCGGAATATTATTAGTACTTTTTAAATTCACGTGCTATTTTTGAGGAATCGAAAAAAGTGAAAATTACTACTTCTGGTCAACGGAAAGGCAGAGAATTAGATCTTTCAATTATATGTGAAATTTCCTTTAGCTATCTGAAATAGTACTCAAGTTATAGGCTTTTAAAAAAATTGAAAGTAGAAAAAGTTCCACTTTCGTTTATTGGAAATCGCTCAAAAGTTGATACGGATCTACAAAGTTGATATAATATCTATATATGAAATTTCATCAACCCAGCTGTAATGGTACTCAAGTTATCGTGTTTACAGACACACACAGACACACAGACACACATACACACACAGACATACAGACAAGATTGCAAAACTATGTATTTCCGACTCATGTTGCACGATTACAATACTTCGTATATACGAGAAAGTAAAAAATGCAAAAGGAAAAGGAAAACATAAAATAACAAGCGAATCGAAGTTGGTGTTGGGGTGAATGGGGGGAGGGTGGGGGTGTGTAAGAATCCTCCAAAGGTACTTTTTTTTTTAATTTCTTTTTTTTTTATTTTTTATTTTTTTTTCGCCTCAGACATGTAATTTACAGCGTCTATTGGCCGTGCATGTTCGCTTTAGTTTTACAGTTTTTATCATCGGCTTGTGAGGACTGATACAGCTTAACAATAGTAATACTTCTTTCTTACTTGTAGCCAACTTTCATTCATTTGAGATGGTTTACTTATACATAGATCTAATACAAAACGTCTATATATATATATATATATATATATATATATATATATATATATATATATATATATATATATATATATATATATATATATTATACGTGTCGATTTCCACTTTTCGTATGGCGTGGAATTTGTACATGATCTAGTAGTACTTTTCATTTATTTTATAAGTCAATCATACGGAGTCTGATTTTTTTTTGTGTGTTCTATTTTTTTTAATCAAAGCCTATAAGTCAAATGGATACAAATGAGATAGATATCTCCGATTATTGTTGTTGACATGAATTTAAAAAATCATGTTATTATGATATTCCCTTTATAACTTTATGATATTCCCTTTATGTCTTGGGAGATTTCAAAATTAATAGCCGAGGATAGGAAGAAATGGAAGGAAATGGTGGAGGCCCTATGCTCCATAAGGAGCAAAGAGGACAAAGTCAAGTAAGTCTTTATAACTGCGCCAAAAAAACGAAAGTCTGAAAAAAAATTAGAAAAATAATTTTACAGAATCTGTAATATAAAAGTTGCAAATGCAGAGAACGTGATAGATCTATATGTAGGAATAAGTTTCCTGAAATAAAGAACTTTCCAAAATAAATCTGCTCATATTTTAATTATTTTTTAATTAAGTATATTAACTTCTGGGTCAATTAGTTTTAATGTTTGGCGCCTGCTACTGCTAATAATAATATTATAATATTATAAATTCTTTGTACAAGTTTGGCGCTTCCTTATAATGTATACTACCCTATAAAGCAACAAGATGTCTTTTATAATGAATTCATTCCTAAGCGACGATAAGGAAAAATCAAATTGTTTTTTATATATCTGTTTTTTAGTTCAGTTACAGAAAACACTAAAAATTCAAATTCATCAAATCTTTGGTCAACATAAAAATAATCGATTACACTGTTTGAAGCACGATGTTGTAATAATACTTGATTGTTAAAGTATTTGATTTGGCATTCGAGACGAATAAGCCCAGTAACTTAAGTCTTAAGGTCTCTAGACACCTATTATCAATTATTATTATGATTTTTATAAATGGCACACGTTTTTACTCAAATCTTTTAAACAAAATTATTTGTCCCTTTGAGTGTACAATGGAAATATCTTATAATTCTACCTTTCACGTAGCATTTCGAATCTAAAATGACATTCGTTTTTAGTTTACCGCCAGAAATAACAATAGTTATGTTCAACTAAGATTGCACCGAAAACACAGGCGCTTTATTGGGAATTACCGATTTAAGAATATTATTAGACTACGACCGTCTTACACTACAGCTCAAGTTGAATACAACACTTCGTGTTTTTGTGTAATAAACAAGCACAACTGCAATTACTAAACAACATCCATTCACTAAATGGGCACTATTCATTTACAGTGTAGTATGAAAAACGAAATTTATCTGAATAGTAATATCTAAATGAAACTTAATTTTTTTTTAAATGTAGGTGACTGGAACGATGTGCAACGGGAAAAGTGCGCACAAAAAAAGTGCGCAAGGGCACTTAAATCGAACATTAATAGACATTAACAAAAAGTGACTACGTGTAAATTTTAACATAATAAAACATATTTCAACGAAGTATGAAACAATTAAAGTGTACTAGTATCATTGGTTTGTTTTTATGCATTTTTCTGTTTGCGCAGTTTTCCGATTGCGCATTTTTCTGGGAATCGTACATGTACAATCAAAGACACTCTGAGGCACTCAATTGTACCCTGATCTGACTAGCTATCTCTATAGTTGTGATAATCTACAAGTTGTCGTGGGATCAAAGGTCATGCCTCAGTCTTATCCAACCTCACCTCACCTCTGATAACGTTACATAACCTAACTAGAACATACTCACTTAACCTCACCAGACCTAAGCTTTATTATAATTACCTTACTTAACCCAACCTCTCCTAATCTACACTACCCTACCGCAACCGCTACTGTTTACTAACAATTAAAGTAAATAAATTTGAGATATTAACACGCATATACCAATTTTAAAAACAATTAAATATTTTAAAGTGTTTTGTTTTTCTATTTCAATATACATATAGCATGCAGTAATTGTGTTAACTTTTGAACAGATTACGAGCAAACTATTGCATCAATTGTTAACTAAAATAAAACTAAAACTCCAACCTAAAGACCTGAGGTGCTCATAACGTTATCTTTTTATAAATTTAAAGAAACTAGCTCAGCTTAATAAATCCTACAAATCTATTTGTAGCTGATTTTTTCAAGATAGGTCGTTAACTACATTCTTAATATGAATAAAAAAGTTAACATTTTTTAAAACATGTTTATTAGTAGATTATTCATACAAAATAAAGCATTATTAAAAAAAACCGAATGTCATATATTCCCAGCATGCATGTGTTCGATGATACACCTCATACACATACACTTACTCTTCAGTGTTGATTTATATTTGATGTTATATGAGTCATGCAATCATACAGTTGATGATATAGATCAACTTTCACTTATACATGTAATGATATAGATCAGTCAAAATGTCTCGACTTCTTTGTAAATCAACGTGTACTTAAATTATATGTTATAAGAAAAAGCATATTTCAATGGGCTTGATTGTTTAAATCAATGATGTTTCTTAAAAAGAAATGTATTTATGTTTAAACATGATTGTCAACCTATAATGAAAGCATATGGTGCAGACATTTGTTACCTATTCAACGAAACACACCAACACATTTTTTGTAATGAACTGACGCAATGGGACCAATGGTGGTGAAGAATGGCACTGAAGTAATTAGCAGTTCTGTAAAAAAAACAATTGTTCTATTGTGGAATGATTTTTTGGCTGTATTCGACTGCAGACCGTTGTAAAAACACACAGCTGGTAGGAAAAACAGACGTGATAATCATATAAATGACAATCGCCACCATACATGCCATCACAAGTACAGCTCCATAAAGGCAATATCTTCCTACACGATCGCGTGTAGTTTTAGAAGGTTTGTTTTCTGTAGATTGCGTCGAATCTGAGTTGAATATAAAGCCGTTTTTAAAAGTCTGGTTTTTGTTTGTTTTTTCGTTGAAACTTTTCGTTTCTCCGGCATCGAATCTTGTAGCGGCTATCTGGTTCACAAGGGTTATGGCATCGAAATTCGACAAGACAAATCTGTTGTTCATAAGTTTAGCCAGGCAAGCATTAGTTGTGTCTTGGAGAGGAAGTACGATCAGCAGCTCACCGAAGTGTGACCTGCGGAGTGTGATGTTGTCCTGGTCCAGTGTCACCACGTCAACCGCGCTACGAGACGGTTTTAGCCGATCAAATATTGTCTTGACCATATCTGTCGAGCTTAAACATTTCTTTGGTGTAGCCGCGAGATAGGAATCATCTGAACATGTCCATTTTAAAACTGACTGCACGGAAAAATCGGCTTCGAACAAGAAGTTTTTATGGTTTAAAATGAATTTTAAGTCATCCAAAGAAAGTTGCATGAAGACATTTGATTCTAAAATCTCCGAAAAATTGTTCACCATAAACTCTTTTACTCTAGTTGTGACGTCAATAGAATCCAACAGCTTGGCATTGGTAAATATTTCCCAGTAGTTTTCTAAATTTATTCTCTCCTTCACGAAGTTTTCACAATCTACAACCAAAAATTTGATCTGCAGTTGATTGGATGCGTGCCACATTTCAAGCATGTTTTCTTCGTCTAAAACTTCCGACCCTTTGTAAATAACATCCAGTAAAAGACCAAATATTTCTGGGGAGATGCATTCTATGGTACAGCTTGATTCAGATTTTTCTCTCATATCTGTCCTCATGAGAGCCTCAAAGAAACCAGAGCAGGAACTTAAGACAAACTTGTGACAGTTGAACTTGGTGTCGCCAACGTTGACGGTAAAGTCAGTAAAATTTTCCTTGTGTTTTTCAAAACATTTGAAAACTTCCTTAGCTACGTGTAAGCCGTCGACTTTATGCTCGGAATGAGACATGTCTGTGTTGGATGTTTGCTGTCTAGGAAAAAAATAGAATTTTAAAATGTTTTCATTGTATTTAACTATATTAAATAGCATAAATAGCATATTAAATAGGCAAAATGGGACGAGTCGGTAAAGCTCATGGTTGCTAAACCGAAAAGTCTGAGTTCGAACCCTCGGGCAGATGATGCTCGTTAGCTGGGAACAGCCACTCTTCTAGGAGAGACAACTCCAAAATTAAAAAACTGCTGCCTTGTAGTTTGTTCTTGGTTGGACAAAGGCTATGGAAGCAAATCCAAAAAGAAAAGCAGGCTGAAATCGGAGTCAATGGCCTCAATGGCGCATAGCCAGTTGACACGTAACGCTTAATTGTGTTGGAGGCGTGGTGGAGTCGGCAAAAAGCTCATGGTTGATAAATTCGAACAAAGCCTCGAGTTCAAACCAACTGGCATTTAAATCTCAATCCCCTTCACCACTAATAATTAAGAACGAAGAAGAAGAAGTAGAAAGTTAAAATGTAAAATAATTATGGTTTAGAGACTTAAATAAACTGTTTATCTAGGGTACATACAACAACACACGTGTGACTGTTTTTGAAGCTAGACAAGATTTTGTGTTAAACACTAAAACGACATTAGTTTCCTGTTTGTTTGGGGTTTTTTTCTTAGCAGAGGTCTATATATTTAATGATCTTTAACGAATTATGAGAATTTGTAAGGTTACACTTAAAATATAAGGTTAAAGAGCAAACGATTGAGACTGTAGCGAAACTCAAAATTGAATTTATATAAAACTTTAATTTTTATCTGCTTTTTGTTTTAATGAGATGAGCTGAAATTACAAACGTTATTTTAGATAATTTTTATCATTTTAATCAAATCGAATTTTAACTGGGTTATTCATTCTTTCTGACAAATTTTTGACCAAGACCAAAATATACATCAAAACATCTATAAAACAATGTGGTCGGATGCCGATTACCACTTGCTCAGATATAGGTAGGAAAAGTCTATGTAATCATACTAAATTTTTAAAAAATTATTTTTAAAAATATGGCAAGCGATAAAATTATAGCTACAATTTTAAAAATTAAAGTCGATAAGGAACCATCGATTACACTCCTTTTCAGATTTTTGTGTTGAACATAAGCCGTTGAAAATGATTTTGAATTATTGTATAAATTTAAATATTTAATAAAACCGCCCTCAACCCCACCTTGAACTGAACTGAAGTGGCCAGGGAGAGTGAAACGATACACGTCATAACAATTATTGTCCATGATAAATACGAACAAGGTTATCCAAGAAAACAAAATGGCGAACAAGGGAATATTTTCAGTTCGATTCAGGCTTTTAAAATTCGTTTGTATCTCTTTTCATTATAATTGGCTTATATTTTTATGACTGTTATGCTCAGATTACTTATATCTAACATTATTCTTATTAATTGTTACCAATGTTTTTGTAGAATGTTTTTAACGCACGTTTCATTGTTTTTTTTTAGGCCTGTGGCCTGTGACTACTCACTCTGTGAGTGCTCTAAGCAGTAAGCTAGAGCTAGATCTATAAGTTTCTAGATCTAGATTATCTAGACTAGATAGATTTATATCGAGAATCTAGATTCTAGATCTAGTACTAGATCTAGATTCTAGGAGGAGTACTCTAGAGATCTATTCTAGATCTAGAATCTATTATCTAGATCTAGTATATTCTAGAGTAGATCTAGCTAATCTAGATCTAGATCTAAGTCTAGTCTAGAATCTAGTCTAGCTAGATTCTAGATCTAGTATACTTACTAGATCTAGATCTATACTAGATCTAGACTCTATATATATACTATATACTTCTATACTATTAGTATATACTATATATTATTATATAGACGTCTAGAATCTAGATCTAGTCTAGATTAGTAGTAGATCTAGGATGTTACGGGTTTTTAATATGTTTAATTATTTATTAAATATAAAAATACTAGATCTAGATTCTAGATCTATTCTAATTTATATACCTAATACTCAATAATACTAATACTATACTAACTAGATCTATACTATAGATCTTATAGTTAGTGAAGTAACTTTATATTGTACGTCATTAGATCTATTAAGTATAAGTCGAGTAGAGATCTACTCTAGTCTAGATCTAGAAGTTATAGGCCTATATTTTATAAAAATCTATATTAAATAATTCAAGTATTTTAAGTTAATAGTAATAATAGATAAGTTA